TGAATCTTTATCTAGCCATGCCCATTGTTAAACTTTTTTGTTCCAATTTTTTTCTATTGTAAACAACAGTGAAAACCTTATAATTCTCTATTTGTACATATTCTTAATTATTTCCTTATAATAAATTCCTAGAAAAGGAATTGCAGGCCCAAAAGTTATGAACATTTAAAAATGCAACAAAGATTCATGAGATTTGAATACTGCTTGTAATAATTTCATTGAGCTAAACTACTGCTTATACATTACTTAGAAACATTTTTTACTTTGAAAAAAGATGAAAACTATGGAATACAAATGAGTCGATGAATTATTTTTATGGTGCTGTGATCTTTTACTATCCCCTGTAGATACAAGGCCAAATGAACCAGATGATTATATGGTTGATTATTTTAGAAGACAGTTGCCTGATCAAGGTTTGGGTGAGTAAAATAGGAACATAGACAGTAATGAATAGTCATCTATGATATGTTATTTTTCTCTCTAGCTCTAGAAATACATAGGGAAAACCAATAGATATTCATTGTATGTCAATTTGCATTCTTGTAATTTTACCCAGTCCAAAAAAAACAAACCAATATTCATCTAATTGTCTAATCTTTTCATTCCCATCTCACCAAATCTTAGAGCAGAGAAAGACCTCGAAAGTACTCTAGTCTCACCTCCTACTCATTAGAGCAGTGGTTCCCAGCTTTTTTAGCTCCAGGGACTGGTTTCATGAAGAAAATTTTTCCACAAAATGTAGGGAGAGGCACGCAGGTTTAGGGCAGGAGAGCTCTGCAGCTCAGTCCTTAACAGGCCACGGACCAGGGGTTCAGGGCCACAGCATTAGAGGATCCAGGCTCAATTTTATGGACACAAGAATTACCTAAGGAGTTTATGAAAACCTCAGCTTCTGATTGAGTAGGTCTTAGTGTCACCCCTTGAATTTTCATTTTTATAAGGCACCTCAGGTAATTTTGATATTGGTGATCTGCAGACCACACTTTGCAAATTACCTCTTTGAGGGCTACAATGAGAACTGGCTGGAGACCAAACAGTTGGGAGCTAAGCCCATCTAACCCTTTTTCATCCTGAATAGCTTCCTTATATGGTTTTTCTTTCAATAATGGTCTGTTTCTTTAAAAAACTTTTTGTTTTTATTATTTTTTAATGACACATAATAATTGTACATAATTAGGGGGTACAGTGTGATATTTTGACACATATATATTAATTTAATGTGTAATGATCAAATCAGGGAAATTAGTTCATTTAACTATGTCTAATGATCCTTTGTATTTCTGTGGTATCAGCTGTAAAGTCTTCTTTTTCATCTCTGATTTTATTTATTTGGGTCTTTCTCTTTTTTCCTTGGTTAGTCTAGGTAATGGTTTGTCAATTTTATCTTTTCAAAAATCAACTTTTTGGTTTTGTTTGTTTGTTTAGAGTCAATTTCATTTATTTCTGCTCTAATCTTTACTATTTCTTTTCTTCTACTAATTTTGGATTTTGTTTGCTTTTGCTTTTCTAGTTTCTTGAGATACATCCTTAGGTTGTTTGTTTGACTCTTTCTACTTTTTTGATGTAGCCATTTATTGCTATAATGCTTTTGCTGTATCCCATAGGTTTTGGTATGTTGTGTTTCTATTTACATTTGTTTTAAGAAATTGTTTAAATTTCCTTCTTAATTTGTTCATAGAATTATTGGTCATTCATAAGCATGTTGCTTAATTTCCATATTTCCAGATTTACACAATTTTGAAAATTCTTCTTGTTATTGATTTCTAGAAAAGATACTTCATATTATTTCAATACTTTTAAATTTGTTGAGAATTGTTTCATGACATAACATGTGATCTGTCCTGGAGAATGTTCCATATACTGATGAAAAGAATGTGTATTCTGCAGCTGTTGGATGAAATGTTCTGTGAATGTTAGGTCCATTTGGTCTAAAGTACAGTTTAAGCCCAATGTTTCTTTGTCGATTTTCTGTCTAGATGATCTGTCCGATGCTGAGAGTGGGGTGTTAAAGTCCCCAACTATTATTGTATTAGTTTGTATCTCCCTTTAGATCTAATAATATTTGCTTTACATATCTAGGTGCTTCAGTGTTGGGTACATATATATTTATAATTGTTATATCCTCTTGCTGACTTGATCCCTTTATCATTATATAATGACCTTCTTTGTCTCTTTCTATAGTTTTTGAGTTAAAGTCTGTTTATTTGATATAACTATAGTGACTTCTGCTCACTTTTGGTTTCTGTTTGTGTGGAATGTTTTTCCCAAACCTTCACTTTCAATCTTTGTGTCATTACAGTAAAGTAAATTTCTTGTAGGCAGCATACAGTTTGATTGTTTTTTTATCCATTCAGCCAGTCTATGTCTTTTAAGTGAAGAATTTAATTTGTTTATATTCAAGGTTATTGTTGATAGGTGAGGATATATATCTATCATTTTGTTAATTGTTTTCTGGTTGTTTTTTATATCTTTTCTTCCTCTCTTATTGTTTATCATTATAGTATAGTGGTTTTCTGTAGTGATAAGTTGTGATTCTTTTCCCTGTATCCTTGTGTATCTGCTCTACCAGTGAGTTTTATACTTGTATGTGTTATTGTAATAGTGATTATCATGTTTCTGCTTTCAGATGTGGGATTTCTTGAGCATTTCTTGTAAAGCCAATCTAGTGACGATGAATTCCCTCAGTTTTTGCCTGTCTGTGAATTTCTCCCTCATTTCTAAAGGATAGCTTTGCTAGGTATAGTATTCTTGGCACTTTGAATATATTATCCGATTCTCTGCTTGCCTATAAGGTTTCTATAGAGAAATTTGCTCTTAGACTAATTAGGATTCCCGTATATGTGACTTGACAATTTTCTTTTGCTGTTTTTAGGATTATGTCTTTGTCTTTGACTTTTGAGAATTTTTACTATAATATGCCTCAGGGAGGATGTTTTTGGTTGAATCTATCTGGGAACCTTTGAGCTTCCTGGGTGCTGATGTGTATATCTCTCCCCAGACTTGGGAAGTTTTCAGCTACTATTTCATTAGATAAGTTTTCTACACCTTACCCTTCTCTTCCCCTTCTGGAACTCTCATAATGTGAGTATTTCTTCACCAGGCACAGTGGTTCATGCCTATAGTACCAGTGTTTTGGGAGTCCTAGGTGGGACTATTGCTTGAGACCAGGAGTTTGGGACCAGCCCATGACCCCCTATTTGGGTTTTGCTGGAGTGGCTCACGGAACTCTGGCATACACTTACTTATGTTTACTGAATTATTATAAAGGATATGGATGAACAGATATGTAGGGTGAGGTCTGGAGGAAGGAGCATGGAGCTTCTATGCCCTCCCTGGGTGCACCACTCTCCAGGAACCTTCACATGTTCAGCTATATAGAGGTTCTCTGAACCCTGTCCTTTTGGGTTTTTATGGAGGCTTCATTACACAGACATGATTGACAACCATGTAGAAATGTGATTGAACAAAAGGCACATGATCCAAACCCAGCAAGGCCTGTGTATTCAGATTCTTCCTGGCCTCTCTGGGTAGCATTCCTTCCTCCAGTATAGGGGACAGGACTCTCTGTGGAATGAGGGTCTTTTGACCCATAATCAGATTAGAGTCCTGCCTTAGTCAGGTGAAAGGAGGACAGG